AACTGTCGCCTAATTTTGAGGACTAATGTAGGCTATTAACATGCGGGTTAGATAATTAGTTGCTTCAAGACATTTCGTCCGCAAAGTCGGAAAGTCAGTTTTGGCATATTTTTAATCCTGTAGGTATATGAGCCTAGCGTCCCACCACTGGTAGTGTCGAAGAAATCGATATAGAAGACGGTGATAAGCGTGATGATTGTAGACTTGACAAAGGTTCATGTGGATGTCATCGTTCATCCTACGGATTCTAAAATTTCCTTCCATGGAATGGTTGGTAAGTTGTGTGGTGTTACAGAATTTTAGTGTTCTTCAGCGACTAGCAAAAGATCTTGTAGTTGTTAATCAGGTTGAAAATAACTTTACGATTGTTATATGTAGCTCTGAACCATTGAAAAATGTCTCTAAATATATTTAGCTTAATCCACAATTTTGATAATTTCGACAAAATCAAAAGGGAATTATTTCTCATTAATGTCCCACACTATCTTCTAACTTTGGGAAACAGGTTTCATGTGGCTGTTTGTTTTCAAGAAAAAAATGACGGAATTTTCCTACTGCATTATGCTATAGTATTACCTTACTCAGGTCAAGAAGAGGAGCAGATGTAGGTTCACACCACTATCTAGTGCAAGGAACCTTCCAAATCAAGTTAAAAGCCTTCAAGGAAGCTGGTGATAGACCTCAATTCAAGTACAACACTCGGAAACTGAAGGATGAAACTACAAAGGAGATCTTCAAGGCAGCCATCAAGACAAAATGGGAGACATCGAGCAACATCCCTGAAGAAACCTGTGTGGAAGAACACTGGAAGTCTTTGAAAGCTATGTGGAAAGAAACCTGCACAACAGTATTAGGAAGGAAGAAGAAAGAAGACAAGGAATGGATCTCAATGAATACCTGGAAGCTGATAGAGGAGAGGAGGATGGTGAAGCAGAAGATAAACCAGTGCAAGGATGCTCAACGACAAGAGGAACTGAGCACAATGTATAAAGCACTGGACAAAGAAGTGAAGAAGAGTGCACGCAAAGACAAAAGACACTTCTACGAAACACTGGCAAGTGAAGCAGAACAGGCTGCAGGTAAGAGGGACCTGACGACATTGTATCAAATAACCAGGTTGCTATCAGGGAAGAGACCAACACAGATGGAACCAATAAAAGACGAAGAAGGAAATTTAATTACAAAAGAAGAGAAACAGAGGAAACGATGGGCCGACCACTTCAAGAAGCTCTTGAATCGACCACCACCTGCACTTCGTCCAGAAATACCACCTGCAGCCGCTGAACTACAAGTGAACATTAATCCCCCAACGAAAATGGAAGTCCTAAACGCCATAAAGCTACTGAAATGCGGGAAAGCAGCAGGACCAGATGGAATACCGCCAGAAGCACTGAGAACAGACGCAGAGACACAGCGGGCATGCTCACACCACTATTGCAGAAGGTGTGGAAGGAAGAGAAGGTACCTGACGATTGGAAGAAGGGTTACCTTGTCAAACTGCCGAAGAAGGGAGACCTCAGTGCTTGCAAGAACTGGCGTGGAATCACTCTCCTGTCCACCCCAAGGTGCTGGAATGCGTTTCATCTCAATAGTTAAAAGGAATAACTGTCGCCTAATTTTGAGGACTAATGTAGGCTATTAACATGCGGGTTAGATAATTAGTTTGCTTCAAGACATTTCGTCCGCAAAGTCGGAAAGTCAGTTTTGGCATATTTTTAATCCTGTAGGTATATGAGCCTAGCGTCCCACCACTGGTAGTGTCGAAGAAATCGATATAGAAGACGGTGATAAGCGTGATGATTGTAGACTTGACAAAGGTTCATGTGGATGTCATCGTTCATCCTACGGATTCTAAAATTTCCTTCCATGGAATGGTTGGTAAGTTGTGTGGTGTTACAGAATTTTAGTGTTCTTCAGCGACTAGCAAAGGATCTTGTAGTTGTTAATCAGGTTGAAAATAACTTTACGATTGTTATATGTAGCTCTGAACCATTGAAAAATGTCTCTAAATATATTTAGCTTAATCCACAATTTTGATAATTTCGACAAAATCAAAGGGAATTATTTCTCATTAATGTCCCACACTATCTTCTAACTTTGGGAAACAGGTTTCATGTGGCTGTTTGTTTTCAAGAAAAAAATGACGGAATTTTCCTACTGCATTATGCTATAGTATTACCTTACTCAGGTCAAGAAGAGGAGCAGATGTAGGTTCACACCACTATCTAGTGCAAGGAACCTTCCAAATCAAGTTAAAAGCCTTCAAGGAAGCTGGTGATAGACCTCAATTCAAGTACAACACTCGGAAACTGAAGGATGAAACTACAAAGGAGATCTTCAAGGCAGCCATCAAGACAAAATGGGAGACATCGAGCAACATCCCTGAAGAAACCTGTGTGGAAGAACACTGGAAGTCTTTGAAAGCTATGTGGAAAGAAACCTGCACAACAGTATTAGGAAGGAAGAAGAAAGAAGACAAGGAATGGATCTCAATGAATACCTGGAAGCTGATAGAGGATAGGAGGATGGTGAAGCAGAAGATAAACCAGTGCAAGGATGCTCAACGACAAGAGGAACTGAGCACAATGTATAAAGCACTGGACAAAGAAGTGAAGAAGAGTGCACGCAAAGACAAAAGACACTTCTACGAAACACTGGCAAGTGAAGCAGAACAGGCTGCAGGTAAGAGGGACCTGACGACATTGTATCAAATAACCAGGTTGCTATCAGGGAAGAGACCAACACAGATGGAACCAATAAAAGACGAAGAAGGAAATTTAATTACAAAAGAAGAGAAACAGAGGAAACGATGGGCCGACCACTTCAAGAAGCTCTTGAATCGACCACCACCTGCACTTCGTCCAGAAATACCACCTGCAGCCGCTGAACTACAAGTGAACATTAATCCCCCAACGAAAATGGAAGTCCTAAACGCCATAAAGCTACTGAAATGCGGGAAAGCAGCAGGACCAGATGGAATACCGCCAGAAGCACTGAGAACAGACGCAGAGACAACAGCGGGCATGCTCACACCACTATTGCAGAAGGTGTGGAAGGAAGAGAAGGTACCTGACGATTGGAAGAAGGGTTACCTTGTCAAACTGCCGAAGAAGGGAGACCTCAGTGCTTGCAAGAACTGGCGTGGAATCACTCTCCTGTCCACCCCAAGGTGCTGGAATGCGTTTCATCTCAATAGTTAAAAGGAATAACTGTCGCCTAATTTTGAGGACTAATGTAGGCTATTAACATGCGGGTTAGATAATTAGTTGCTTCAAGACATTTCGTCCGCAAAGTCGGAAAGTCAGTTTTGGCATATTTTTAATCCTGTAGGTATATGAGCCTAGCGTCCCACCACTGGTAGTGTCGAAGAAATCGATATAGAAGACGGTGATAAGCGTGATGATTGTAGACTTGACAAAGGTTCATGTGGATGTCATCGTTCATCCTACGGATTCTAAAATTTCCTTCCATGGAATGGTTGGTAAGTTGTGTGGTGTTACAGAATTTTAGTGTTCTTCAGCGACTAGCAAAGGATCTTGTAGTTGTTAATCAGGTTGAAAATAACTTTACGATTGTTATATGTAGCTCTGAACCATTGAAAAATGTCTCTAAATATATTTAGCTTAATCCACAATTTTGATAATTTCGACAAAATCAAAGGGAATTATTTCTCATTAATGTCCCACACTATCTTCTAACTTTGGGAAACAGGTTTCATGTGGCTGTTTGTTTTCAAGAAAAAATGACGGAATTTTCCTACTGCATTATGCTATAGTATTACCTTACTCAGGTCAAGAAGAGGAGCAGATGTAGGTTCACACCACTATCTAGTGCAAGGAACCTTCCAAATCAAGTTAAAAGCCTTCAAGGAAGCTGGTGATAGACCTCAATTCAAGTACAACACTCGGAAACTGAAGGATGAAACTACAAAGGAGATCTTCAAGGCAGCCATCAAGACAAAATGGGAGACATCGAGCAACATCCCTGAAGAAACCTGTGTGGAAGAACACTGGAAGTCTTTGAAAGCTATGTGGAAAGAAACCTGCACAACAGTATTAGGAAGGAAGAAGAAAGAAGACAAGGAATGGATCTCAATGAATACCTGGAAGCTGATAGAGGAGAGGAGGATGGTGAAGCAGAAGATAAACCAGTGCAAGGATGCTCAACGACAAGAGGAACTGAGCACAATGTATAAAGCACTGGACAAAGAAGTGAAGAAGAGTGCAAGCAAAGACAAAAGACACTTCTACGAAACACTGGCAAGTGAAGCAGAACAGGCTGCAGGTAAGAGGGACCTGACGACATTGTATCAAATAACCAGGTTGCTATCAGGGAAGAGACCAACACAGATGGAACCAATAAAAGACGAAGAAGGAAATTTAATTACAAAAGAAGAGAAACAGAGGAAACGATGGGCCGACCACTTCAAGAAGCTCTTGAATCGACCACCACCTGCACTTCGTCCAGAAATACCACCTGCAGCCGCTGAACTACAAGTGAACATTAATCCCCCAACGAAAATGGAAGTCCCAAACGCCATAAAGCTACTGAAATGCGGGAAAGCAGCAGGACCAGATGGAATACCGCCAGAAGCACTGAGAACAGACGCAGAGACAACAGCGGGCATGCTCACACCACTATTGCAGAAGGTGTGGAAGGAAGAGAAGGTACCTGACGATTGGAAGAAGGGTTACCTTGTCAAACTGCCGAAGAAGGGAGACCTCAGTGCTTGCAAGAACTGGCGTGGAATCACTCTCCTGTCCACCCCAAGGTGCTGGAATGCGTTTCATCTCAATAGTTAAAAGGAATAACTGTCGCCTAATTTTGAGGACTAATGTAGGCTATTAACATGCGGGTTAGATAATTAGTTGCTTCAAGACATTTCGTCGCAAAGTCGGAAAGTCAGTTTTGGCATATTTTTAATCCTGTAGGTATATGAGCCTAGCGTCCCACCACTGGTAGTGTCGAAGAAATCGATATAGAAGACGGTGATAAGCGTGATGATTGTAGACTTGACAAAGGTTCATGTGGATGTCATCGTTCATCCTACGGATTCTAAAATTTCCTTCCATGGAATGGTTGGTAAGTTGTGTGGTGTTACAGAATTTTAGTGTTCTTCAGCGACTAGCAAAGGATCTTGTAGTTGTTAATCAGGTTGAAAATAACTTTACGATTGTTATATGTAGCTCTGAACCATTGAAAAATGTCTCTAAATATATTTAGCTTAATCCACAATTTTGATAATTTCGACAAAATCAAAGGGAATTATTTCTCATTAATGTCCCACACTATCTTCTAACTTTGGGAAACAGGTTTCATGTGGCTGTTTGTTTTCAAGAAAAAAATGACGGAATTTTCCTACTGCATTATGCTATAGTATTACCTTACTCAGGTCAAGAAGAGGAGCAGATGTAGGTTCACACCACTATCTAGTGCAAGGAACCTTCCAAATCAAGTTAAAAGCCTTCAAGGAAGCTGGTGATAGACCTCAATTCAAGTACAACACTCGGAAACTGAAGGATGAAACTACAAAGGAGATCTTCAAGGCAGCCATCAAGACAAAATGGGAGACATCGAGCAACATCCCTGAAGAAACCTGTGTGGAAGAACACTGGAAGTCTTTGAAAGCTATGTGGAAAGAAACCTGCACAACAGTATTAGGAAGGAAGAAGAAAGAAGACAAGGAATGGATCTCAATGAATACCTGGAAGCTGATAGAGGAGAGGAGGATGGTGAAGCAGAAGATAAACCAGTGCAAGGATGCTCAACGACAAGAGGAACTGAGCACAATGTATAAAGCACTGGACAAAGAAGTGAAGAAGAGTGCACGCAAAGACAAAAGACACTTCTACGAAACACTGGCAAGTGAAGCAGAACAGGCTGCAGGTAAGAGGGACCTGACGACATTGTATCAAATAACCAGGTTGCTATCAGGGAAGAGACCAACACAGATGGAACCAATAAAAGACGAAGAAGGAAATTTAATTACAAAAGAAGAGAAACAGAGGAAACGATGGGCCGACCACTTCAAGAAGCTCTTGAATCGACCACCACCTGCACTTCGTCCAGAAATACCACCTGCAGCCGCTGAACTACAAGTGAACATTAATCCCCCAACGAAAATGGAAGTCCCAAACGCCATAAAGCTACTGAAATGCGGGAAAGCAGCAGGACCAGATGGAATACCGCCAGAAGCACTGAGAACAGACGCAGAGACAACAGCGGGCATGCTCACACCACTATTGCAGAAGGTGTGGAAGGAAGAGAAGGTACCTGACGATTGGAAGAAGGGTTACCTTGTCAAACTGCCGAAGAAGGGAGACCTCAGTGCTTGCAAGAACTGGCGTGGAATCACTCTCCTGTCCACCCCAAGTAAAATATTAAGCCGCATCATCCTAGAGAGGCTAAAGGATGCACTGGATTCAAAACTACTACCGGAACAGGCAGGCTTCAGGAAGTACAAATCATGTCCAGACCAAATTGCAACGCTTCGTATCATCATAGAGCAGAGCATAGAATGGCAATCGGCTCTATACCTCAACTTCATCGACTTTGAGAAGGCCTTTGACAGCGTCGACCGAGAGGTAATTTGGAAACTGCTTCAATACTACGGAGTACCGCAAACCTTTATCCGCCTCATTCAACAACTATGTGAAGATGCCACATGCCAAGTAATCCACAATGGGAAGCTCAGTGATGCCACTGAAGTGAAGTGAAGACAGGAGTGAAACAAGGTTGCCTACTATCCCCCATGATATTCCTTATTGTGGTGGACTGGATCATGCAGCAAACAGTAGGCAGCGAGAAGAGGGGGATACACTGGACGACGGAAAAGAACCTAGAAGACTTGGATTTCGCCGATGACCTATGCCTAATGTCACACAAACTTGAAGATCTGCAGGCAAAAACTAACAAGTTGATAGAAGAGGCAGCTAAGACGGGACTTCAGGTGAATATAGAGAAGACAGAAGTGATGAAGATACCGCACCACCACCACCACCATCAACAACAACAACAAACTCCAATCACCGTCAACGGGAGAAACTTGAAGGAAGTAACCTCCTTCACTTATCTAGGAAGCACTGTTTCAACTACAGGTGGGACGGACGAGGACGTCAAAGTCAGAATCGGAAAAGCAAGACAGGCGTTCATTAGCCTGAAACCAGTGTGGAGATCTTCTGCACTCAGCATGCGGAACAAGATACGGATTTTCAACACCAACGTCAAGTCAGTGCTCTTGTATGGCTCAGAGACTTGGCGCGCCACGAAAGGCATTTCCAATAAACTACAGACATTCATCAACAACTGCTTACGCTCGCTGCTGAAGATCAGATGGCCAGAAAAAATAAGCAACAAGGAACTCTGGGAACGAACCAACCAAGAACCTATCACGCAACAAATATGCAGGAAGAAGTGGAGATGGATTGGCCATGCACTGAGAAGGCCGACTGAGGACATCACGCGTCAGGCCCTCGAGTGGAACCCCTATGGGAAGCGACGAGTTGGACGTCCGAGGGTGACATGGAGGAGGTCGTGCGAGGAGGAAATGAGAGGTTGTGGGCTGTCGTGGGACCAGGTTCAAAAGATCTCAGAGAACAGAGGTCACTGGAGGCGTGCTACTGAAGCCCTATGTTCCACTAGGAACCCAAGGGACTAATAATAATAATAATAATAATTACCTTACTCATTAAACCTAATCACAACCCTACTATTTAATCCAAACTATGTTTGGAGCACCCAGTAAGCCATACAGCAGCAGGTTAACGGGGAGTAGGACCTCTGCAGCATCGGCGCTGTTATGTTGATGAGTAACTTCATCATACTTGTAATTAAAATAAGTTAGAAACCAAGAAGTTCCTAAACGTCGTTAAGCAACGCGTAATTATCCTTTATTTCTGTTCTGAAATCTGGGAGGAAACGACTGTTTCCATTCAGGGTTATTCGGTCGTTCCTCAAGGGTGGCTAAATTCTGCAGTTCCTCCTGTTGTTTCTCTTTCAAATTGTAAAATATTTCATTCTTAGTGTGTCATTATGGCACCCTATTCAATATAGTGTCGGCTGTGCTTATTCAATTGTATTATAATATTAAGACCAAAATTGTTGTTTTGAGAATTCGGGTTTACTTATTTTACCCCTACAAGAAATGACGTAAAATATATGATGATCACCATTATTTTGAGAGACTTTCAGTTTCTTCATACTGGTGCTTAAATTTATGGCAACCTCACAGATTACGCCATTCACGAGGCACCACTTGAAGAATCTCGAAGATTTGGTTCAGACTTCTTAGATGCAGTTAAGTAAATTTTTGTAGGTTATCTCATAAAACATTTGGTTCGGATGCCCATACAGTATCACCGCCCTCAGGTCGATCACGTAAGAATATTGATATTGGTGAATCCAGTACACTGAGGAAATCTTATTGGGAACACTCAAACTCAGTTTTTTACAATCTTGCCACCGAATCATTCAGCTCATTACCACTTCCTGGTTATAAATTTACACATGGACTGTATTACTTTCTCGTTATTGCTTCTAGTTTTTGCTTTATCTGTATTTTTGTTCAAGACTTTTGCTTGTCATTGTTTGAAATTCTGGCAAGTCTGTACCGTCTTAAGTTGCTAAATAGTCGCTTCTACAATGGTCTCCTCCAGTGTAGTCTGACTCAACTACAAACACAATGTTTAGTCTGACTGCCTTGAACGTTAGGAATTTGATGTAAATGGAGAAATTGGTTCAACTGGAATCTTGTAAAGCCGCGCTACTGATGTATGTGGTATGTCAAAGACCTGACGTGATCCAGAAAAGTAACTGAAATTAGTCCTCCATTTGTCAGCACAAAAACTGTTCTCCGTTCGCGTACCCAGAGTCCTTCTGGTGCCATCAGTTGGCTTCACTAGGGTCGAACCCCAGGAAGTATATGAGCACTGATTGCATACAAAAGTAGTTAAAGCTGTTTACAGCCTCAAAGAACTTCATGCTAATAAAGGCTGTCTGTAAGTTGCTTGTAACCTCTTGACAGTCGTTGGTGAATACAATGGTATGCGTCACTTATGCAGTTGTGGATGCCTATTGCACCAGCTACATTGGTGTCAGTGTCTCGTGTCTCATGGTCGGTTGTCACTAACCGACCTATCAAAGCACAGATCCAAATGGAACTCGAAGCACCAAAACGATATAGGACACTGAGACTGGTCAGTTTATTCTCGCCTCATTTTAAGTAAGAAAGTGACGTTAATCAGGGAACTTACTATGTTGTTTGAGAGATATAGCAAACTGGGTGTTCAGCCACGCTGAACTGAAGCTATTGTTGTACCCATTTTATAAAAAGCCTGCATAATTTAGGTAACCATTATCAGGCTATCAGCCTGCTACTAGCAGCGTCTAAAGTATTGGCTGTTATCAAACTCCGTAAGATCTACAAAATGCACGAAAAGCTGATCAAAGGAAATATAAAGTACTAGAAGAGAGAAAGAAAGGATGAGAAAATGGTGAGACTAGGTATAACGTCAAGACGAGAATAATGTGTACACATCTGCGCCACTGACATCGGTTCTCAGCCATATCACCTAGGGTCTCCAACCACTGGTTCCTCTTGTCCCGTGGACCCAACCACCTAGTCTGCATCGTCCTACATGGCTTAAACCAACAGTCAGAGACTTCATACATTGGTGCCATGTTTTAGTCTGGCCACCTCGAGCATTTTTCCAGCCTGTACCCACCCACCTCAGCCAACATTGTGTGACAAGGCAGTCGGTGACTAGGCATACGTAGTACGTGTCCCAACCATCTCAGTCGATGAAGGTTCATAACCTCGTCAACTGACTTACCTCTTCTCCCTAAAACTCTACACCTGACTTCTGCATTACTCACGTGGTGACGTCTCGAAGGCAACGGTGGTCAAATACGTGCAGCCTTCTAATGTCGTCTACCTTCAATGGCCATGTTTCATAGCCATACGGTAGAACAGAGGAGACTTCTGTGCAGTACACGCAACCCTTAATAGACACTGGGATATTATGGTGGCACCACAGGTGGCGTAACTTGGCAAAAGCCAACCGGTCCTTTTGTATTTGTGCAGAGATTTCATCGGCCACTGAGCCACCAGGGCTGACCTCACTTCCCAGGTAGGTGGAGTGGAGACGGAGACCTCCATAAGAATATCTATGATAAAATTAAATAAGAGAGTGGGCAGCCTTGACGGACACCACTCGACAAGTACAGATCCCTGGACATCTCACTATAGGCTCTAATACGCCCACAAGTGTTCGAGTAGAGAGCCTTCAGTAGGGTTATGTACTTACTCTGCACGCCATTCACTGAGAGATATTGCTATAAGACTTCTCGATCGACAGAGTCGAGTGCCACCATCAGGTTGTGAAATACAGCTATTGTCAAGCGTCGGCGAGCGTTTCTGTGTTCCAAAACCTGGAGCAGCGTGAATATTTGGTCGATACACCCACGGTCGGGTCTAATGCCTGCCTGTTTGATTTTCTCGGGCTTGCTGTTCCTGAGCTCCGCTCAGGCGTTGAAGAATTATAAAACCTAGAATTTTAGACACTATGTTTGTCAGGCTGATTCCTCTGTGGTTATCACAAGAGGACTTCTCATCTTCTTGAAGACTGGGGATAATCAGGGATTTAGACTAGTCAGAGGGGATCGTATTTGATTCTCATATACTAGTTAACACATACTGGTTAACCTGACTAAGAGCACTCTACCATCATCCTTGTATACCTCAGTAGTAAGTTCCCTCACAGGATATGTAGCTCATCGCTTACTACACTAACACAAGGTTTCTGATTGTTTTGTCCTTCGTCCACGAGTTTGCTACATATCTTTGTCTAAATCAAAACATCTCTGTTAGAGTGGATGCATACAACCATCTCACTCCATTTTTACAAGCCAACACGAGTTAGATAGGGCTGCCCCATTTCGCCATCTATCTTCGACTTTACCACTGACGATGGTATCAAGATAGTTTCGATACAAGTATATGTGGTGATGGTGTAGTTCTGCAGCTTAAAAGTGACTTTGCTACCATGGTTATGTAGGTGATATAATTTTACTATACACGGAATGGTCTCATTTTTCTAGGCACTGAAATGCAAGCCGGTGGGTCGTAGGTTCGTTCCCTGCCTCACATACCCAGGTATGGGCAACCTGGTATTGTTATCGGGCTTCACACAATTGATCTGGCTTCACCCACTACATGAACGTGTACATGGCTACTGGATTTTGTTCATTTATTTGTTCCTTTTACTGTTGATGGACAGCACACAGACTGCGCAAATTGTACTTAATCAGGTAGCTCCAAATGTCTGTAAATATGTATGTGCTTTTAACCATCGAAGTGCAGAATGATTTTACAAGATTGCCGAGAGTCTTCTTATCCTTCGTGGTGAGATAGAAGTTGTCTAAGAGTTTGTGTACCTGAACAGTAGTGATGAGATTTCTGACCGTATATCGTGATTTAGATGTTCGGAGATTTCGTATAGTATCGCCGTTGTCTCTTTTGGACACAAGTAATTTCAAAGTGAGGCAACACGTGTTTGGATATGATGAAATCGTCATTTGTTGAGCGGAATTCTTTTAAGACACGGACTTCGATGAATTGAATATGTGTTATGAATGTCGTTCCAGTAGTTGTCATACGTTTTACTCTTCGTTGCGGTGGATTGGAAGGAGCGAGTGGGCGGTCAACTTATGATATGATGTTCGATGAAGAATAGTTGTATTGGGTCAGCGTTTTCAGGTGCTTCATTTACTCCATCGATGGTTTCTTAGAGGTCAAGCAACTTAGTTGCTCAAGATAACATACATGAATTAGAGTTGAAACTAGTAGCAGTCATGCTGCAGTTTTCGTGTTTATTCTATTTATTAAGTGAAAGTAGTGAGTGCTTCCAATGTATAGTTATGAGCAATAAATTCTGCTCAGAACGTCATCCAGTTAATTATACTGTCACTATGCTATATCATGTAAACTACCTAATATGGAACTAAACTCTACCACAGTGCCCACATTTTTGTCTTACAATAAGGAGGCTTCGAACGTATGCCTGAGACTCATTTACTATTCTATTCTTTTGTTCTGTTCTCCTTCCTCTTCTGCTTGTATCACGTTTTTACATTTTTCGTATAGTGCCTTTCTTGGTGTCCATTTTTTTATCAAGTTTCAAATAAGTATTTCTAGCGTGAGTGAGATATCCGGTTTTTTATCAAGGGATAACTATCCAATGCGAAAATCCTATTTTACGGCTGTGAAAGTCCCTTTGAATGCAGATGTGAGGTGGCAGATTTTTGATCGCATAGCGTCACTCGCATATAGTGGAATCACCATGCTGACATACTAAGCAAGGCAGGTAAGTCAATCGATAAGGTTGTGTGCGTTCGCCGAAATGTTGCCCATTTTGAATCAAGGTCTACCACATTTCGCAGTGTTAGCCACAGCAGTATTGACTCGTAGTAGGAATCGATAGTTACCAACCCTTGGTGATATGGCTCAGAATAGACAACAACCACACAGATGTATGCACTTTATCATTTTCTAAGTCTTAAACATTTTCAGTTACTGTATGCATTTATTGTCTCCTTATGTATTTTTGTCGAATTCAGCTCCACTCTTCTTTCGTCCACTCTTTTGGCTATTGTTGTGAATTGCGATAGCTTGAACTGATGTCTTTCCAGTGACAGATCCAATATTGTTCGATCTGGCAAAATAAGATTCTAATTCCTCATGGGGTGATCATCTATTCGTGTTCCTATGTCAGGTTTCGCGCGATTTATATTGTGGGGACTTCTTCCGGATTTGTGCCATTCATTCACAATTTATTGACTATTTTCCTCTCACTTCGCTCCTCTACAGGTCACACACTGTTAAACAAAGGAGGTTCAAACTTAGAAAATGCTGTAAGGAGTTGTGTACAATCTGAAGGTTGTCTGGGGTATTTAGAAGGTTAGTGTTTCTAAATGGCTTGATTGAATTTTTCACTTATTCTCCCAACTTTTTATTTCCCACAATGACGGTAGTTTCTATTCAATTTTCAGTGCGTAGAACTGCTGCTTACAATATCGGTGCCCCATGGATTTTCCACTGCCATAGCTCAACACGGCAAATGACTTGTCCCATGCTATCAGTAATTGTTTGGAATTTTGTGAATCAGAAAAGTTCTACTCTATTTCACTTCCTTCAGTAGGAAGTGGAAAGTATGTTGCGAAATATGTTTTAATTGAACTTTTTTATGAGTACATTTATTTCATCTACCTAGTTTATATCTATGACATTGATTATTAATTTTCACCTTTGTAGTGATGTCAAACTGTTTCACTACTCATACTGTTGAAATCTTGTTTCATATTCTCGACAGGGTAAATTAGTCAACCGCTTCAAGTGGTACTTTTACTTCATGCATAAACTGACTATATAAAGTACGTCAATCAGTTATAACATGTCTTCAGATTAATTTGTAACGACACTAGTTGCCTGTCTCATATTTGCCTATCAAGATGCACACCAACCAAACGAGAGATAAAAGTGTCATTCAGTGTCGTAGAAAGTCATTTGAAGATAAGAAGAGTACAGCCAATAACTAAGATATGACAGTTAAGAGGGGAATTATGTGTGGATCTATCTAGTTGATCTATCGAATTGAGTTCGAAATGTTTTCTCGGTTTTGAGTTTCGTCCCCTTGCAATATAAACGAAATCTCGTTAAATGTTTGGTCCATCGGGCGAGACTCATCTGTTCAGATGATAGTTTTGACTTAGAGCTTCAAATTATCCACGATCTACTCAGTAGTAATGGATATCCAGAAACGTTCCTGGCTAAAAATATGAACACATCCAATATGAAAACCAGAATGCCTACAGTCTCCAAGAAACCACTGTTTCTAAGACTACAATTTCGAGGTGACATCATCAGCGAAATTGTGACACAACGCTTAAGAAATGCCATAAGAAGATCATTTAATGCCGCCAAGTTATGTTGTGTTTTCTACAGCCGGCCTATGATGACCACACGAACTAAAGACAGACTCCCTGACTTCTCCTCTTCTATGTGCATTTACCAGTTCAACTGCTCCTGTGGAGCTAGTTACATTGGACGTACAGTTAGGCAAGTCCGTCGTCGAATCGCCGAGCATCATCCTTCATGGCTAAGTAAGGGGGAAACCAGACTGACACGAAGCTCAATACTCTCTCATCTGATTGACACCGGCCACCGAGTTAACATTCATAATGCCTTTAAAGTTATTTATCACATTCCTTCTCACCTCACCCATCCTCTACGAGTCCGTCTTTTACACACAGCAGAAGCCATAGGAATCCACCCACACAAGCCAAGTCTGTGTGTTCAGAAGAGATTCGTACAGCCTCTTTCTTTGCCTTGGCCATCTGTATAGCTCATTTATTACAACAAGACTCTTCGTTTCATCCACCACACAATTCACTATAACTAGTATTTCAATAGCTCCATTATTATTATTATTATTACTATTACAGGCTTAATCATCTTTCTCTCCCCCTACTGTCTCTAATTACAGTCAACAATTTACCATTTTACGTAACAGTTCATTTTTGCTCTTTAGTTATCATTATATAAAATATCAATTATGTAAGAACCTGTTCGCAAAATCTTTCTACGATAATTAATCTTTGCTTTAGTTAACTGTCTTAATTACCTGACCAATTATCACCTTCTTGAAACTTTGAGATTGATAACCTTTCACTGAACAACTCTCACCACTAGATTGGTATGTAATTTTACGTTTGAAAATGCTATATTAGTGTAGAGCCATTGATGAGGAACTAATTGAAAAGAAATATTTCTTCGCTCACATTGCTTGTTTTCTCGGTTTTAGTTTTTCTACGTTCGTTTAGCCGTATTTAAACCAATGCGTGATCACTTCCCAAACACTAACTCAAAAAAAGTGTAACCCTTCAGCGAAAACTAACAGCAGTATGTTAAACCTGTGTCTGCCGTTGATCGAGGTCGATGGACACCACGTTAAAGGTTCTGTACACGCTTGAAGTTTGCACTGGTTAACATAAGTGGTTGTCTGAACGTTCCCTCAACAGGTAATCAGTTCTGTATGTGTGTCTCGCAAACACAGCCTATCTGTGGTACATGAGGCCAGCGTTTTGGTTAGCGAGTCTCGTTTTCCTATTTGATGAAGAGTATGAACATATAATACTCTGAAACGTAGTTTGAAGCGCAGTCTCGGGAAATCGGGAATGCTGTTTCGTGAACTGGAATGGTTACTGAGAGCAAAGACGTTGGAAAGAATCCAGGATGGCGTAGGAAAACTATCTAGAGATATGAAAGGTTGATAATGTCAGTTTACTGGAATATTGACTAAGATGTAAAGGCAGTTAACACATGGGTCACATGGTGAAAGGTTATCTTTTCTTGGGTTACCTAAGAGAGAAACTAGTTTATTTTAACGCAACCGCGCATGTACTGTCGGTAATGCACAGGAAATCCTTTGCTACTGTTACACGCTATCCATCTAGCGGTATGGTTTCGCTCTCGGACTTGCACCTTAGTGAAGTTATTTTTACCATAACTATACGGGATTAAAAGTGGCAGTTATTATAATGTGAAACAGTTTATTCTCAGGCAACTTGCATTGCAACTAGTAAAGTAACTGAAGAGTTTTCTTCTTGAGTGGTTGGCCATATGAAATAAATAATTACTCAAGAATAAGGGTCAATGAATATTCACAAAATAAGAAGCGGAATATTGCTTTCACATTTATCTGAAAATGACAGCAATGCTTGTCGTGAGGAAACGTGTTGTAACATTAAGTTTGCTGTAGCAACAACGGTAAAGACACATGAAGGTTACCAAACGTCACTGGATTTCTGCAAAGTCATCTGAACTGATTGATGCGAGAGGACTTATTCCAGTTGGCTCTGACCACGATGTAGAGCGTAAGCTGACCAGGCGTCTTCGCGTTGGTCGCGAGTAGTAGTGGGTGGCGAAAGCAAGAGAGATGCAGAAGGTTTCAGCATTGGGTAACACTCAGCAACTATTTAGGCTTACTAAGGATACCGGCAAGAAGAAAACTATGGTGAGTGAAACCATCACCGAAAAGGATGAGACACTAGTAATCTCCCTGAACAGGCGAATAGAACGTTGGGTGGAACACTCTGAAGAACCGTTCAACTGGGCCACACACACACTTGGGTTGCTCAACACCCAACCTGACCCTGACTTGGGTGAAGATGTTGGTCCTCCAATTCTCCTTGAAGTTAAGGAAGCTGTATCGAACTTGAAACTATGCTAAGTAGCAGGAGGACCTGACAGTTTGCCGCCTGAAGTTTTTGAGGATAGAGGAAGGAATTTTGTAACTCATCATCATTATCAACATAACGGTCCGAGTTGCCACACCTCATATCAGTTCATCAAGTAGAAAGGTAGTGAGGTGAAGGATGAAGATAAGTGAATGCAGTCAAAAGAAATATAAAGTACGAGAAGAAAGGAAAGAGGAGTGACAAAATAGTGAGATTCGGTATAGCGTTGTTAAGATGAGGATAATGTGTGTATACATCTGCGCCACTGACTTCGGTTCTGAGCCATATCACCTAGGGTCTCCAACCACTGGTTCCTCTTGTCCCGTGGACCCCAACCACCTAGTCTGCATCGTCCTACATGGCTTAAACCAACAGTCAGAGACTTCATACATTGGTGCCATGTTTTAGTCTGGCCACCTCGGGCCTTTTTCCAGCCTGAACCCACCTCAGCCAACATTGTGTGACGAGGCAATCGGTGACTAGGCATACGTAGTACGTGTCCCAACCATCTCAGTCGATGAAGGTTCACAACCTCGTCGACTGACTTACCTCTTCTCCCTAAAACTCTACACCTAACTTCTGCATTACTCACATGGTGACACCACGGAATACGTCCTATACTACGAAGGCAACGGTGGTCAAATACCTGAAACCTTTTCATGTCTTCCACTTTCAATGGCCATGTTTCACAGCCATACAGTAGAACAGAGCGGACTGCTGTGCAGTACACGCGACCCTTAATAGACAAACGAATATCACGGCGGCGCCATAGGTGGCGCAAATTGGCAAAAGCCAATCGAGCCTTTTGTATCCGTGCAGAAATCTCATCGGCAACTAACCCACCGGGTTGATCCTACTTCCCAGGTAAGTGAAGTGGTCAACACACTCAACCACTTCACTCTCTATTGTTAACCGCGGTACCGCTGAAGACCAGTCCTGGAGCAAAAATTTGCATTTGGGTGGTGAAAATCGCATCCCAAACATTCTCAAATTCCCACTCAAAGTGTTCAGAAGACTCTGCATCTTGTCAGCGTCTTCACCTAACAGGACTATGTCATCTGCATATTCTAGATCTAAGGAAAATTCACCTGTGATTCGGTCAACGTCTTTGTAATTAGGTGACGAGAGGGAAACCTCCATAAGAATATCTATGATAAAATTAAATAAGAATGGGGATAGTGGGCATCCTTGACGGACACCACTTGATGAGTATAGCTCCCTGGACAACTCACCATAGGCTCTAACATGCCCACAAGTGTTCGAGTAGAGAGCTTTCAATAAGGTGATGTACTTACTAGGCACGCCTTTCAGTGACAGACACTGCCATAAGACTTCTCGATCAACGGAGTCAAATGCCGCCTTCAGGTCGAGAAATACAGCTATTGTCGGGCGTCTGTAAGCATGCCTATGTTCCAGGACCTGGCGCAGTGTGAATATTTGGTCGATACATCCACGGCCAGGTCTAAAGCCTGCCTGGTTTTCTCGGGCTTGCTGTTCCCGAGCTCCACTCAGGCGTCGGAGAATTATAGAACTTAGGATCTTAGACACTATGTTTGTCAGGCTGATTCCTCTGTGGTTATCACAAGAGGACTTCTCGCCTTTCTTGAAGACTGGGATGATCAGTGACTTAGACCAGTCGGAGGGGATCGTATTTGATTCCCATATACTGGCTAACACTTCCGTTAGCCTGACTAAGAGAACTCTACCACCATTCTTGTATACCTCAGCAGGTAGTCCGTCTGGTCCTGCTGCCCTTCCCCGTTTCAGGCTACCTACCGCTTTCTCAACTTCTTCTAGTGTTGGGGGACCTGTCTCTATGTCCCATTCAGGGTCCGACTGGATAGCGGGCAGCGCAATGGTGGCTGGAGGCCAGTTAAACTGTTCCTCAAAGTGTTCTGCCCATCGTCCCAGTC